GAGAGTACAGAAACCCACATGAGCCCAAACACAGAATGGGGTTCAGGGAATGGACAGCCTCCTGACAGGTCTTGGACTGACCTAGGAGGTCCTACAGAGACGCCCAGCAGCGGCTATCACTTCAAGGGGCCTGAGGGTCTACAGCTAGGCAGGTCAACCAGGTCACAAAGCAACAGAAGCCCTGGCCTGACGAGCCCGGTGGGCAAGCAAGCAGGCCAGGCATCGGGGCACAGTCCTTGGAAGACACCAGGGCACAATAGAGAGAATAGGCTCACGCCTCCCTCCAGTCAGGGGACTTATGCCAGTAACCCACAGCTAAGAAGGTCACAGAGAGCAAAGAAATCTCCCAAGTACCTAGAAGACTACATAACATTGCTGGCAAGGCAAAGGCCAGTAAACAGTGGGAGCACTGGGGAGCAAAATGTTATATAAAATAAATGCTGTATGTTGGTAGTAGTTTTAGCCCGGGGGAAAGGGGTGTTATGTCCCGAGCCTTTGCAAACGGCTCGGGCGTTTGCAGGCAGTCCCGGGCAGGTGCAAAGCTGCCCGGGACCAGACAGGCTGTCGCCAGCGCCGTGCGCATGCGCGGGTGCTGGCGCGGGAAAAGTAACCCATTTACCCGGGAGTTGCCTATATAAGGGGCTGCGAGGCGTTTGGGCTGAGCCGAAGCCATCTTCCTGTAAGCTGAACGCTGAATAAAAGAACCTGAGAACTCAAGCTGCTTCTCGTGTCTGTTTTCCCGCCAAGGACGCAACAATATCCATTTAAAAAGATTTTTAACTAGGATCCCAGATTAATTGATCGATTGATTATGTGCCATCAAATCGTGATCAGTTCTTAGCAACAAGAAGATTTTTCTTTATGATGATCTTTCTAGTCTTCCAATGGTGTATTCATTGCAACTGTAACTGAGTCTATCCACCTTGTTGCTGGTTACCCTCTTCTTTTCCTTTTCATCTTTCCCAGAATTACAGCCTTCTCCAGAGAGCTAGGCCTTTGCATAATGTGCCTGAAATAGGATAATTGAGCCTCATCATTTGTGCCTCAAGTGAAAATTCAGGGGTTGATTTGTTCAATATCCATTGTTTTGTTTTCCTTCACTGGCTATAATATTCTCATGAGTCTTCTGCGAGACCAAAATTTGATTGGATTTCTGGTGTTAACACCAGAAAAACAATCAAGCAGTAAACAACAGTCTAATAAAAAAACCTACCCAGAATGAAACAATACCTCCACCAACTGTGACAGCGCAAACTACTATATATAAACAGAGACCAAATTTCACTCCCTTCTAGCACTGAAAATGTTACTGTTAAGTCCTTTGAGAAATCAGAGGCCTGGAGACTCATCTTTAACAGTTCAACTCTTTATTCACTTCGTTACAACACCCAACTGACACTAAGAGGCTCGCAGGCCTCTTAAGTATGCACGGATCCCCGGGCAAATCCAATACAGCTGATTAGTGCGTTTTCGCGCCTCATTCATGCGCGAGAGGCTGGCACCGCACTGTCTGGTCCAGGGCAGCTTGCAGCAACCTGGGACCATGGCAACGTCCCGAGCTTGCTTCTGCAGGCTGTCCAACTCAGCATACCTTGGAGGAGTGGTAATCCCCAGGTCCACAATGGACCTTCCCTGGGAGCACTGTCCCTCGGCCTCGAGGCCAGCCAATGCTGGATTCTGGGCATCAGGGCCACCCCTGAGCTCGGGAGTTTTCCCACCTGTGCCTGAGGTGCCAGAATCAGGAGTCACCTCCCTGGCCACCCCTCTTCCTGCTGACCTCCTTTGTGAGGTAGTTGCTGGGACGTACCCTCGCCCTTGCTGGAATTCCTGGTCACTGTTCTCTTGTGAGATATGAGGATACCCCCTGTCAAACTCCCTGTCTGGAGTGTTATCTGTTGAAGGTGAGTAATGTGGACACCCCCGGTATGTCTCCCTGTCTGGAGTAATTGTGAATAAGTGGGGAAACCCCCTATATCTTGAATCTTCATACTGCATATTATCATCCCCCCCCCAGAGCAGAGCCAGGAGCGGAAGAGTGAGAGTCCAATCCCCAACGCAACTGATCTATGTGCCTGCGAATGATACAGCCGTCTCCCAAAGTCACTTTGTGCGACAATGGACCCGAGGCCTTGCAGACTACAGCTGTCACCCAGAGATGACCAGGCCCATAGTTACGTGCCCAGACCGGATCCCCCACTTGGACCCTCCTAGGTGCCCGCGGTTGAGACACCTGTGAAGCCATCGGTCAGGATGCAGCCTGTCCAGCTTCGTTATGAGGCGGCAACCCCAGCGGAGTTCAGCAGGGCTCTTTCCCGTGGCAGTGCATGGTATGGTGCGGTGAGCAAGAAGGAAATCTGCTAACCTGTGATGGCAGTTACCATAAGTCAATCTCTTGAGGGCATCTTTGGTAGTGCGCACCATTCTCTCAGCCATTTCATTGGAGGATGGGTGGAAGGGAGCCGACGTCGCATGCCGGATCATGTTGGCTTGCAGGAAAGCCTAGAACTCAGAAGAAATAAATTGGGGACCATTGTCTGAAACCAACACATCCGAAAGACCATGTGATGCAAAAATGCTTCTCAACACCTGGATGGTCCTGGCAGTAGTAGTGGAGGAAACAAGAACAACCTCTAGCCATTTGGAATGGCTGTCAACCACAATGAGGAAAAATTGCCCCTGAAAGGGCCCAGTGTAATCTATATGCACCCTGGACCATGGGAATTGAGTTTCCTCCCACCTGTGTACTGGGGCCTGAGGCATTTCAGGCCGGGACTGTTGGCATGCTTGGCATCCATGAACCTGGGCCTCGATAGTCTTATTGAGACCCGGCCACCAAAGATGGTTGTGCGCAAGGGCCTTCATCCTTACTATATCAGGATGTCCATTGTGCAAAGAGCACAAGACTCTAGGCCTCAACGAGGTAGGAATTACAACCCTGCTACCCCATAACAGGCAACCTTTGAAAGTGGAAAACTCATGCTTCTTTTTCCAGAAGCTCTGAAACTCCATATCGGGACACTTGTCAGGCCATCCTGACAATACCCATGACAACACGCATGTGAGCGTGTGATCAGTTGCAGTTTCTGCAGCCACATCCCTGGCATTGAGGGGACACTCTGGTAATTCCTGAATTGACAGAATATGAACAGCTGGAGCCGGATTAGGCTCCAATTGCTGCAAGGGCAATCTACTCAGGCCATCAGCATGGCCCATATCTTTACCAGATTTCTGAATCAAGGTAAAGTTGTATGCTGACAGAAAAATGGACCATCTCAGCATACGAGGAGAAATGATATGTGGGGTCTGTTTGTTTGTGGTAAACAACCCCAAGAGAGGCTTATGGTCAGTATAGACTGTAAATTTGCGGCCATATAAGAAATCATGAAATTTCTTAATGCCAGCCACTATGGCCAAAGTCTCTCTGTCAATCTGAGCATAAATACGCTCAGCAGAAGACATGGTCCTGGAATAATAAGCTACAGGGACTTGAGTCCCATCAGCCTTCAGATGGCTGAGTACTGCTCCTACCCTGTAAGGAGATGCATCGCAGGCAATGCACACAGGCAGCTGCTCGTTGAAATGAGCTAAGACAGTATTGGAAGTTAGCAAGGCCTTAACCTCATTGAAACTCTTTTCATGGACCTTAGTCCACTGCCAAGGAGCCTGTTTGTCCAAGAGCCTATGTAAGGGCTCTGCCACAGCAGCCTTGTGAGGTAGGAATGAATGATAAAAATTTAAGAGGCCCAGGAAGGCTTGCAATTCACCCTTGGATTTAGGGCTAGGGGCCTCTTGTATAGCTCGCAACTTGCCTTCAGCAGGATGGATACCCTGGGCATCTATTCTAAATACCAAGAATTCAGTGGAATTGACTCCAATTTTGCATTTTTCCTTTTTCAGTTTAAGGCCTGCTTTTCTGAAACGAAGCAAGACAGCTCTTAATCTCTCAGCTAGCATTTGAGATGACTCCCCAGCAATGAGGACATCATCAAAGTATGGGCAGACCCCTGGAATTCCACGCAGCGTGCTTTCAATGATGCTTTGGAATATGCTAGGGGCTACACTAACCCCAAATTGCAGTCTCTTGACCTTAAAAGCTCCTCTATGAGTGACTATAGTTTGTGCTTCTGCAGCTGCCTCATCAACAGGCAACTGTTGGTAGGCCTGTGCCAGAGCAAGCTTTGCAAAGATGCTGCCCCCCTTAAGGGATGCCAGAATGTGATTTACTACTGGAACTGGATAAGCATGCTGTTGTAAAGCCTTATTTAGTGTACATTTGTAATCTGCACAAATACGTATCTCCCCATTAGCCTTTAAAGGCGTTACTATAGGGGTTTCCCATGGGCTTGAATCTACAGGTTCTAAAACCTTGCTGTAGCAGTTTGTCCAGTTCAGCATCAATCTTGGCCTTGAAGGCAAAAGGTACCCTCCTTGGCTTAACCCTGATGGGGGTGATTGTTGGGTCTAACCTTAATGAGACTGGAGGCCCCTTGAAGGATCCAAGCTCTGAACTAAACACATCTGCAAACTCCTTGCAGACTTCTGCCAGGCATGACGTTTGCAAACTGTGCAGCCCAGTGATTTGGATGCCCAAAGCCTCGAATCAATCGAGTCCAATAAGGCTAGTGCGTTCCCCCCCCACTACTAACACGTCTAGAGGACCTTCAAAATCCTTATGTTGCACCTTAAGGGTGGCCTCCCCCTTAACACACACTTTAGAATTCTGAAAATCTGTGAGAATTATGTGGGATGGTCTTAGTTTGGCCCTAATGCCACTACTGTTGCAAATCTTTCTAAATGTACTGTTAGAAATAATAGAGAGAGCGGACCCTGTGTCCAACTCCATAGCTATAGGAACCCCTTGCAACCTTACTTTTAAAGACAGTTTTCAAGGGTTTATGTGTTCCTGTCCTCAAAATACTCCTGCACGATGCGCAGAAACCCACCCTGTTTTGGCTGGGGACCCTGGTACCTTTCAGATGCAATTCTTCCTGAGGTTGTACCTTCTGTTGACTCAAACATACGGCTGCAATGTGGCCTCGCTTTCCACACCCTCTGCATATGTCAGACCGGAACCTGCACTCAGCTTTTTTGTGGCTTCCACCACATCCGAAGCATTTGATGGCTGTAGTGGCTTTGTCCAGACGCCACTTCTGCTTCTTCCTTGATGGCAGGTAAAGTCTATTCACCTCATTTTCAGGATCTGTGTCTGACTCCTCTTTGATGTCTTCCTGATGGACTGTTGCCATTTCAGAAATGCTTCTGGTAGGCCGCAGAGACCTTACAGCTCCTCCAGCTGCTTCTTCAGCCATCACCTCCCTTACTGCATCTTGGAAGGAAATATCTTCTCTGGCAAAAAGTTTCTGCTGCAAATCTCTGTTTCTTAAACCACAAATGAAGCGATCTCGCAGCCTCTCTTCCAGATCCTTGAACTCACAAGGCTTGGCTGCTCTCCTTAAGGCTGCAGTAAAGTCTTTAGCAGATTCACCTGCCCTCTGGTCTCTTTGCTCAAATGTGTGTCTCCATGCAATCACAGGCAATCTGGGCTGGAAATGTTCCTTTAACAATTTCTTTAAGTCAGTGAACGTAACGGACTCTAGAGGTGCAGGGGCCACTAGGTTCTCAGCTATTTCAAATGTCTCCTGACCATAGACACACAAGAGCATTGCAGCCTTTGATCCATCTTCCCTTATCTGGTTTACTCTACAATAATTTTCCACCCTGGCAACATAAGAGTCCCATCTTTCTGGATGAGCAATGTAAAACTCAGAAATACGCCCAATCTTCGCCATTTTCTCTCTACTCTTTCTAATGTGGTGGAGGAAAGGGTTATTCAGCCAAGCTCACCCTCCAGCGACGCTGTACTGATAGGCCTGAGATGCTGCTTCCAATGCCGACTTCCCCCTTCTTCAGGACTTCTTGTGGGTGATTAAAGCTTGTTTGTTTGAAGCTCTTCTGATCCCACCTTCGTCGCCAGTGTTAAGTCCTTTGAGAAATCAGAGGCCTGAAGACTCATCTTTAACAGTTCAACTCTTTATTCACTTCGTTACAACCCAACTGACACTAAGAGGCTCTCAGGCCTCTTAAGTATGCCCGGATCCCCGGGCAAATCCGATACAGCTGATTGGTGCATTTTCACGCCTCGCGCATGTGCGCGAGGCTGGCACCACACTGTCTGGTCCCGGGCAGCTTGCAGCAATCCGGGACCATGGCAACGTCCTGAGCCTGCTTCTGCAGGCTCAGGACACAACACCTACCTTGTCTGGTAATCTACAAGCAAATAATCAAGCTCAGGATTCCACAATTCAACCAAGGATTCCACAATTCTACCTCAAGCTACAGATATTTTCTTCTATCTTCTATTCTAGTGCAGAGAAAAGCAGCAAAGATGATCAGGGGACTGCAGGTTAAAACATATAAAGAATGATTGCTGGAATTGGATATGTCTAGCTTAATGAAGAGAAGGACGAGGGGTGACATGATAGCAGTGTTCCAATATCTCAGGGGCTGCCCCAAAGAAGAGGGAGTCAAGCTATTCTCCAAAGCACCTGAAGGCAGGACAAGAAGCAATGGATGGAAATTAACTAAAGAGAGAAGCAACCTAGAACTAAGGAGAAATTTCCTGACAGAACAATTAATCAGTGGAACAATCTGCCTCTAGAAGCTGTGAATGCTCCAACACTGGAAGTTTTTAAGAAGAGACTGGATGGCCATTTGTCCGAAATGGAATAGGGTTTTCTGCCTGAGCAGGGGTTTGGACTAGATGACCACCAAGGTCCTTTCCAACTCTGTTATGCTGTTATCTTGGGGCAGTGCTGCCATGATCTTGAGTTAAAGGATGTTATTGTTAGTCCTTGATCACAAACAATAAATTCACTTAATTTAAAAGGACATGGAGGACTGAGGTAGCTCAGAATAGTATGGGTAATACATATTGGAAGGTTCTCAATAGTTGCACACCTGCTTGTTAATCCAAATCTTAAATTAGCAGGATTCCTGCAGACATTTGGGTTTCATTAAACTTGCCAAAAGAATGGATAGCATAGCATGTTGCAGTGCATATTCTGTTGTCATGGAGAAGAAGAATCTTTCTATATATTAATGCAGAGGACTAAGTAGATATATACGGTGCTATGTATACTCAAATTTGTTTACTGGTAGTATTATATTGCACAACTTCCTTTTAAAATACAAACCTAATGAATGCAGAACACTTTGCCATATTAAGTGGAGAATAAAAGAACATGTGTGGGTAAATGAATAAGCATAATTTTTTTATTGAGAAAGGAGACATGGAATAATAGAATCTCTAAGAGCTGCTTCCACCCACACATCACAATAGGAACTTTGGTGGTCACCAAAGAACTGGAAATTAAAAAGGAATAGAAATGAACAGCATCTGCCTCTAAAGCATTGGAAGGACTATGTGTAAATAAATATAATCACTACTTGCAAGGAGCAGCATACCTACTGTTTAATTCATTTTATTTCTACCTTCAGGTGCAACAACTAGTTATAATGACATGCATCACCCACTTACATAAGTGGGTGCATACAAATATTAGTGATCTCAGAATGGGTTTTAGGTTATTTCCTGGTACATCATTATTGAGACAATGCTTAATGACAAGTCACAATTTCTTGCTCACCTGTTGTCAAATGTGGCCACTAGTTCAGAAAGTTTGGCAATGCTTGCATTGAATAAATACAATCAAGTAAATAACATTTTTGGTCCATTTCTCACAACTTTGTTGCTCTAATATCTATGCACTCAGTATCTAATGTAGGATACCTTAGTTAGTTTTCGGTATTCTCCTGTTAATTATTCTTTCCCATTCAGGCCTTTCTCTGCATAATTAGTCCAATACATCTTTTGCTGCTTATATACCTGTTCATGTACTAGGAGCATTTTCATAATACTTCCCATATTCAAGAAACTTCAGAATTAATATACTCTCCCCATCCACCATCTATACAATTGGGGGACATCACGTGGGGTTTTAGCAACAGCAGATCATGAGACGCAATTAAAATTCTTAATCTTTAATCTACATATAGTAAGCACTTTCCATTTAACCAAAGGATGTTGGAAGTAGGAAAGCAGAAAGGGGCAATGTTTACGTTGAATTAGCTTTGCAGATTCAAGAAGCACCACCAAGCAATGACACCGAACTTACACAAACAAATCAGTCAGCAGATTTTCTAAACAAAGCCAGAAACTGTACAACACTTCACTGAAATAGTTTCTACTAGCAACAATTCATGACCAGTTAAAAAGCATTTTAAAGGAACCATCTTCAGAAAGTTCAATATTTGTCAAGGTGTTTAAGAATATAAATATCATAAATGAATTTTAAATATTATTTCTATTTCATCACGGCTCACAATAGGTAGAGGTAATCCAACCACTTACCTTATTTAAAGAAATTCCTTGTTTAAAAGTAAAAGGGAAAGCAGTGAGATTTTTTTTTTCTCTATGCTTGGTGACTTATTTCAAATCAAATGTAAATATTGGAATGAATTGTAAATGAAATTTTAAGTATTCTTAATCTTTGATCTTTGTACTTGCTTGTCATTTCTCAGTGGTGCAAGAGATAATGAAAAAAATCCTCCAGAAAAATGGAAGAAGCAGAAAAATGTTAAACTAGGACAGAAGTATTGAACTCTTGTTGTCATTAATACAAAATTTATTAGCCCAAAGATTTCAACAATACAAAAAATTATATCTATCTATCTATCTATCTATCTATCTATCTATCTATCTATCTATCTATCTATCTATCTATCTATCTATCTATCTATCTATCTATCCATCTATCCATCTATCCATCTATCCATCTATCTATCCATCCATCCTATCTATCTATTTATCTATCTATCTATCTATCTATCTATCTATCTATCTATCTATCTATCTATCTGTCTATCTATCCATCTATCTATCTATCTTTAAAATACATTTTGATTTTGTTAAGAATTTTTATTATAATAGTAAAATTTAATACAAACTAACCTTTATCAGAACAATTATAAATAAATGTAGTGGTTCTTAAGGTTACGGACCCATGTCTCATATCTTGTCTATAAACAAGTCCTTAAAACAAAGATTATAATTTTATTATTTATTCTTACATGTACTTTTATGCTGCTTCAATCAAGTAAATCTGAACAGTTTACAAGTAAATAAATGTAACATATAAAAATAAACAATATTATAACCTAGTAAAACTCTTGTGTCTGATATTTTGTAACCTTCAGTTTGTAACTTACAGAATGGCTAGACCCATTACTTCTGAGGGAATGGAATTGGGGACTTTTTTCCCCATTTCAATGCTGTTGTTCAGTGCCACCATGCTGCCGAGTCAGCTGTGGTCATGTGATCTTCATTTTCAAAGTTGTATTACAGTTTCCCATAAGTCGATGGGGAACTTAGAAGGAACAGAAATAATTGACAAGCCTCCTATAATCTTTGCCATCTTTGTTTGTGGGAATGCCTGCAAGGGAGAAAGTCAATGGAGAAATGGTTCAGTCCCTCTGCACTTGAAACACACTGTCACTCACACACTCCTTCTCACACTCCCCCAACCCAACAGCAGCCACTTACTTGCCTGTTGAGAAGAGAAGGGAGATCAGGAAGGGAGAGAGGGAGGGAGAGACGGAAGAAGGGTGAGTCATGGCTGATATTTGAAAACTGATTATGAGTTATGGCTCATAGCCAATTTGGTCTAGTGGTTAAGGCACAAGGCTAGAAAGTGGGAGACGGTGAGTTCTAGTCTCACTTTAGCCATGAAAGCCAACAGGATGGCCTTGGGCAGTACTCTGTTTCAATCCTACTCATCTGACAGGGTTATGGAGAAAATAGGAGGAAAAAGGTGTCTTGGATATGTCCACTGAGTCATTTGTAAAGTAATAAAATAACTAGAAGGCAAAATGGGAAGATGGCGCTCTATTATATTGTCAAGTTTCAGACTGTTCTGAAACACCTCATCTCACATTTCTAATTTATGAACACTCTCCCAAACAAGACAAGATACTATGGCTATCAGCATTTTATTCTCCACAAATACTTCTGGTGCCTGTGTGAATCCCACATAATTACTTGAAAATAACTGTTGTGCTTGAGACCAGTTTTTCTTTACTTCATGCTGATTGCTTATTTATTTTTGCTTTTAAAGAAAAATAAAAGCTAGTGGTGCAGGAAAACTTTCCATATAATGTATATTATAAAAGTATATGGGGAGCCCGTTGGCCACCTAGAAATATTTAGATTATTTTATTGGCACCCAGGAGAAACTTACTGAGTATACTGCAT